GAGAGAGAGAGAGAGAGAGAGAGAGAGAGAGAGAGAGAGAGAGAGAGAGAGAGAGAGAGAGAGAGAGAGCTGCAACATGCAGCATGTCATTGGCGGGGAGCACAAGGGCAGGCGCTGACCTCCAAAAAAAAGTAGTAATTGTATTGGAATACAAGATGTTTTTCCTTTTCGAAATCCGAATAGAAAGGGTACACGTTGTATTCGAGTACAACGTGGATCACGGCCTCCTCGGCCTCCTATGGGCAGCTACGGGTCCTACGCGGTCCTGGCCCCTGCACAGCCCCCAGCCATGTGCCCACTTCGGCCTCGAGGACGCGTCTGTGGGTTGACACCGTCCCACACCAGGAAGTTCGAACCTACATAACTATAGCGACCGTCCCACACCAGGAAGTTCAGACCTGAGTTCGAATCGCAATATGTACAAATCAATCTGGCGTTATGAAAACGGTGCTCTGCCAAGGTCGTCAGCGTTATGACAACGGTGCTCTGCCGAGGTCCTCGGCTATTCAATTCAAACGAGTCCCTCGGCTCTTCAATTCAAACGAGACGTCCTGGTGCGAGATCGGTATTGCGGTCAGGGCCTAACGGCAGACGGCTACCATCTTCTGCCGAACACCTTGCCCGAGTATATGGCCATACATTGGGACTTCCTGTCTGTATCTAACCTCTTTTACGGCCACATCTGGATGCATCAGACCGCAATTCCGTCCAGAGATAAGTTGAAAAAGTCCTTGCGTATTGCCTGGACTGTTTTGGAACCGGAATAGGTTCATGATGATGGGTTGCTGTATTCGGGTGGAGGACGGCGTGCGGCAGGCGGGAGGGCAAGGCTACTTGGTGACAATCGCTGTGCGGCCGCCTCTGACATTAGACTGAAGCACAGGTTTGAAGAAACGTAGATCTTTTTTGAACTATAGGACGCGCGTGTATAGTCGACAATCTTTTCTCACGCATTGGGGTACTCTCTACACGCCGTTGCGATAGGTTCTAAGGGATAGAAGATGTTCAGAAACACACTTTCCAAAACGTATCTGGGTGCAATTACAGCCAGCTCTGGATGCATCTGACTGCAGTCACGTCCAGAGCTCAGTGGAAGAAGTCCTAGTGCGAGGATGCCCTAAGTGCAAGGATAGATTCTTCTTCTTCTTCTTCTTCTTCGTCGTCGTCGTCGTCTTTTCTGCTGCTGCTGCTGATTTCAACTTTTCGTTTGGGCACAATAAGTCAATGTGCCACGTCTGGCAGAGGAATCGTGCCGATGTTCACGAAACGGCAATGCATCCGAAAACATTTCATATGTCAAGCATAGGCCGCGGCGAATCGGTTTATCATATGCTAATGTGGGACGAATCATGCCAGAAGACTGACCAGGTTCATACGATATTAGAAGATGCGAGTTGCTACAAGAATGTATGGACAGCCTGTAGCCACGTAGTGGTGAGAAGAGGAGGAAGGGAGGAGGAGGAGAGGAGGAGGAGGAGGAAGTTAAACTGTAGGTACAGATGGCAGAGGGACAGGTGATGTTTGTCGAGCTGTGGAAGATGGAAGCGCCAACTATTGAAAGATGGCGGGAGAGCACAGCCCATGAGAAGTGGAAGGGACGGTGGCGCTTATCGATGAACCTAGTCAGGAAGAGGAGCAGGGGGAGGAAGGAGACAGTTCAGGAGGAGGTAAGGACATTGGTCATGGTGTTGCGGAGATGGAGAACAAGGCGAGGACCAAGAAAATGGTAGCCAAGCTTCCACGATGGCTGAAGGTAACGGTGCCAATCTCGCAGAGGAGGAGGATGAGGAGGAGGAGGAGGAGGAGAAGAAGGAGGAGGAGGAGGAGGAGAAGGGGAGCTTGGTTGGCGATCGTGAAGGTGAGCACGAGAGCAGGAAAAGCGGCGAGGAAGGGGAGCATGTTTCTGATTCCACCAACTATGGTGGTGGTGGTGATGTTGTTGGTGGCACGAAGAAGAGGGAGGAGAAAGACGTCCACGTGGGGGATAGGAGATTGGGCAGCGAAGCTGTGGCTGCCGCCGACGTGGAAGATGAACGGCGGGGTGAGGGAGGGGGAGGAAGACCGAGTATTGAAGTTTTTGATCGTGGTAGGGATACTGATGATGCTGGTGATGGTGACGTCATCAGGTGTGAGAGAAAGGAGAGAGACAGGGGCGATATTGTTGCGATCGGATTGGATGAGAGGTTGCGTGTTGATGCGGTCATTGCTGATAAGGAGATGGAGAGGCAGTGGGGTGACGGAGGAGGAGATTCAGGAGAAGGCATGGATGGCTGCAGGGATGAAGGTAAGGGTAAGGAAGGTCCAGATGATGATAACGCTAGGAAAGAGAGGGAGGAGGAAGATGCCGGCGATGGAGGATTTGTGAGCAAGGTGAAGGACGTGTTGATTGGTGTAGGTGATGGTGGAGAGGATCTCCAGCAAGCTGCCGTCATCGCCGAGGGAGGAGGCCAGGGCAGAAAGGGAGATTGTGCCTGTGATAACGGTGTGGGTGATGGTGATGAAGATGCCGTCGACGAGGGAAGGAAATGTAAGAGTGCTGGCTATGGAGATGGAAGCCAAGGGAAGGGAGTTTGTGCGTATGATAGCGATGGTGGTGATGGCTATGCCGTCAGTGAGAGGAGGAAGCACAAGAATGGTGGCTATGGCTATGGCTATGGAGGTGTTAGGGAGATGGAGGGGACGTTGGCTGTTGGTGAGATTGGCTGCTGTAGGGAGAAGAAGGAGCAGTGGTGCGAGGGAGGAGGAGGGCAAGACCCGGATGCTTGTTGTGATGGTGCTGAGTATGGTGATGATGAAGCGGGATCCAGGAAGAAGAACGAGAAGAAGAACAAGGAGGAGGAAGAAGATGAAGATGGCCTCTATGATGCAATTGGTGTCTGCGAGGTGGAACAGTGGTTGGCTGGTGAGGTTGTTGCTGAGAATGAGAACGAAAGTAATCATCAGCAGTTCACGAGAGGGGGGCGGCAAAGCGCGGGTGCTTCTTGCGATGGTACCAGGCAGGATGGAGACTATGCAGGGGAGGATGGAGGGAAGAGAAGGAAGGAGAGAGATGGTGGCGTTGATGGAGGTCTGGGTAGGATGGACGGAGGTGTTGCTGACGATGAGGGCATGATGCAGGTTCGTCGGGAGGAAGGAAAAAGCGACGTGTGGGAGAGGGAGAACGAGAGAGAGGGTGGTCGTGATCAAGGTGTGGGGGGGGTGGAGGGTGTAGGTGCTGCTGACGGTGGCGTGGTAAATGTTGTTAGCGACGTTTCGAATGTTAATGACTATGCTAAGGACATGTCAGCGACGATGGACGAGGTTGGCGATGGGGGCCACGTAAGCGTGGTGGAGGATAAGGTGCTGCTACACAGCAGAGCTTCGGTCGATCGCTGTGTAACTGCAGCTCATCGTTGTACGGGTGTCTTTGCCGGAGTAATCCCTCCCTCTCTACAAGAAAGACTTGGGAAGGAGGGTGGTGGTGGTGAAATGGGAGAAGAGGGGAAGGAGGGGGAGAACGAGCTGGAGGATGATGATGATGAAGATGACGTTGACTTCACTCCTGGCTCTTTGTGCTCTCTCTCTCCCTTGCCGTCTGACTTTTCCTCTGTTATCTTGTCTGATACGGAAGATGAGATAACCGACAAGGGAGGGGAGAAAGGGTGTGAGGACGATGAGGAAGGTGGTGATAATGAGAGGAATCTGATCGGGGGATGGGAGATGGACGTTCGTACTGGGGTTAGCTCGGTTCTGAGCGGCGGCGGCGGAGATGCCTTCGCGGGGCAATCAGCAGCAATCTTCAGCCATGGTCTTTTGGAGAACAGGCAGCAGGACGTGGGACGTCTTGCCGTTGAGAGGAGAGAGGATGAAGTCGATCTAGGGAGAGGAGGTGGTGATGCCGCAGATCTCGATGGCGATGCTACAACGCATGCTCATGGGGATAAATGGGGGAAAACCGGAGGTAAGGGGGTTGAGTTGTTGAGTGGGAGGAAGGGAGAACATGATAGCAACGACGAGAATGCGGTCACGGAATCCTCTACTGGCGGGACGATGATGCTTGACGCCATATCCAAGCGGACTCGAGCGAGGTTATCTCTCAATGACATGACCCTTGAGGAGTTGGAGGCATTCCTGCGAGATTCGGACGAAGACGAAGACTTGGTGGGGGCTGACGTGGAGGAGGAGGTGGCAGTTTATCGCGAGTTTTTGGCGTCGGTAATTGGGGGTATACAGGGAGAAGGAGGGGGTAATGAAAGTAGGGAGGGAGATGGGGGTGGGGGAGAGGGAGGAGGAGGGGGAGGGGGAAGGGGGGGGGAAGAGGGCAAGGAGCCAGTTGTGGCAACAGGTGGTAGAGAGGAGGAGGATGATGAGAGTGATGTGGATTTCACGATAGAGGATCTGTTTGACAGCGAGGGGGAACATGGAGAGGGAGACGAAGATGATGAAGATGATGAGGATGAGGATGATGACGAGGAGGAAGAGGAGGAGGAGGAGGAGGAGGAGGAGAGAGAGGGGGCGGACGAGGAGGAGGAAATGGTTGGGGGGGAGAGTGAACGAGGGAGAGAGCAACGAGCGGGGGCCGGCTCGAGGAAGAGGAAGTCTAGCGCGCGCTCCTTACCACGAACAGCTTTCCCTTGTGGCTCGAGGAAGAAGGGCAAAACAGGCGGTGGGGGGGGTCATACAGAGGCGGAGATTTGTCAGGATTCTCTTGTGGCAGACAAGGCAGCAAAGAAGTGGCGCCCTTTGCTGCCACGTCAGCAGGCCAACCACCCGATGCTCATGAGCTGGGGGAGCCGATCAATGGCGGGTCCGGGTCCCGACTTCCAACCACCGCATATGATGTCGTATTGGCCCGGTGGGTTGGGTTCGCAACCTCCCCCGATCCATGCTGCAGTTGCCACCCCCGGGCACCAGTTCACCGCTCATCAGATAGGCCAGCTGTATTGCCTGGTTCATGAACATGTCCAGCTTTTAATCCAGGTCGCTACGCTGGGTCAGCTGGACAAGGAGTCCATGGAAGCTGCGCTGGCTGCCCGCAAGTTGTTAGCAGAGCTTCAGTCCCGAAGAGAATGGATTCTCTCCTGGAAGAAGACAGCTTTCCCGGATGCATGTTTCAAGCCTCCTTACGTTCATCCAACTGCCACGCTTGTGCGCACAGCGGGGTGTGATGGGAGCCAAGGGTGTGCCTGTGGCTGTGCTCAGCCTTCCCCTGGCACACGCCAACACCGCCAATCACCGGCGACTGCCAATAGCGGAAACCCAAATGCAGCCGATGATCAGCGGATGGAGGTTGAAGAGGTCTCCAGTGCAAGCGTACCCTTACCACGAACAGCAGTGGGTACACAGACAACGAGTGGGATGATGATGATGATGATGATGGCGGAAGCTGCTGGTACTCGTTCGAGCAATGACGGGGTGGATCTAAGGTCGGGATCGGGCTTCACGCAGGTGCAAGCTGACGTGGACGCGATTTGGGCCCCCACGGTGTCGGGACCAGTGCACTCGCTGCTCGACGTGGCACCGCTTCGAGTTCTACCACAGTTCCTCCTGCAGCTGGACCGAGCTGCAGTTGCTGGTGGTGATCCCGACCCCGACGCCCATCAGTCCCAGGCAGGACGGGAAACGCAACAAGGGTCTTCTGCGGCTGAGGGCGGAGAGGAGCGTTGCCCTATGTTTACGTGCTGCAGCCACTCGCAAGTGGCCACGGCTCCCTGGCCCCCACGTATGTCATGGCTTTGGTGTCGCAACGAGGCAGCAGCTGCACCTGGTGCTAGCAGCTGCCTCCCCGCGGTCGGCTCCCATGCCCCAGGCAACATACCCGTGGCAGAAAAGAATGACGAGCATCGAGGAGACAACGATGCTGCTGGACGTGGAAGGGGGGGTCGAACCGCCGGGGGGGGGTCTGTGTTAAAGGAGGTGGATTCAATAGGCGGGAAAGCGAAGGACAACAATGGGCCTAGTGGAGGCAAATCGTCAAGTCGAACAGCAGCGACGGGGGGGGGAGGAGGAGGAGGAGGAGGAGGAGTTGGAGGAGGGGGTGTTGTGCTTGTGCCAGGTCGGTATGCCCAGGCTATGAAAGTATTTGAGAGAGTGTTTAATCCTGCAGTGTTCCCAAGGTGCCCACCAGCTAGCTATATTGCGAAACGCACCCTGTTTACAGAGAATGAGGACCTGCTGCTTGCCATGGGCATCGAGATTTTCAACACGGATTGGCCAGCCATCCAGAAACGTTTTCTCCCATCCAAGACAGCGCAGCAGGTGTTTATACGTCAGAAGAACCGATGTGCAGCACGTGCACCAGTGAATCCCATCAAGCTTGTGCGTCAGCTTAAACAAGCCCCGCTAAGTAAGGAAGAAAAGCAACTGATCAGTCAGGGGCTGCAGATATACAAACACGACTGGCTACTGGTGTGCAGCATGTGCGTGCCTCATCGGGATCCGCAGACATTGCCCAGACTGTGGAAGATGGCATTGAGCTCTTCCTCCTGTTCCACGACGAGAGAGGGGGAGGCCAATCAGCCTCGAAGGGCTCAACGACCTCGGCACAGGGATGGCCGAAAGAGAGGAGCACAGGCTGTGGTGTCTGCAGCTTCCATGAGTGCAGAAGGCCAGGGTGAGACCACGGTTACTGCGGTTGATACCGGCAAGTGGGATCGGAATCGGCGTGCGCCCTCCGATGGGTCAAGAAAGGAGAACAGTAGAGCTCACACCGTGGCCTCTGCTGGGGAGGGGGAGGGAGTACGTGCAGGTGGTCCTTCTTCGGAAACGGGCGGATCTGTTCTTTCCCATTCTGCTCGGCCACCAGTTGCAGGTTCTGGAATGCATAAGTACGACCAAACTGTGTTGGAGGGAATCTCCGCCCAACCTGTTGGGCCCCAACATAGCGGAACTCCTGTCTTACAGCCATCTACTGCCAAAGCTGGCCATTCCCAGCACCTTTCCGCAGGATTAGCCTCTTCTGGCATGCCACATGTGTCAGCAGCTGCACCTTCTATTCCGGGTAACCAAGTGCAGACTGTGGGTGCTGTGCCATCTGGCCCTTCGGTTCGTTTGCCAGGTCAAACGGTGCTGCAGTCGCAGGTGTCTCCCAGTAACGAAGTGCAGACTGTCGCTGTCACGCCTGCCGAGCCTTCAGTTGACTTGCCAGGTCAAACAGTTAGTCAAACGGTGCTGCAAGGTCAAACAGTGTTGCAATCCCAGGGATCTGTACATAGGGATAGGCAAACTGTGGCTGTGGTGCCTGCTTCGCCAGTTGGGTTACCGGGTCAAACAGTGGTGCAATGTCAAACGGTGTTGCAGCCACAGGTCTCTGGAGGGATAGAAGATCATTGTGGCAAGTCTCCAGAGAGAGCAGCTCCACGTCAGGCATTGACCGTTGCGGGGGTGCCGATGGGCCTTACGCAGAATAGGAAGGAACACGTGCCCATCTCGGACCAGGAGTTTGAACCTTCCTGTCATGAAGTTGGTGCACACATGGAGGCTGATGCAGGTGTGATGGATCAAAATGGTGGTGTAGTCCCAACTGAAGGGACCGGTGTTACCCTCTTATGTGACGAGTCTTATGCTACCTTCATTCAGCGTGAAGATTATATGGAGCTTGCAGGGATGCAGCATGATTCAGGGGATGCTGGAGACGAGGCGAGGAGGGGGTGTGGGCCTGTAGCTGATCTGCAGTCCGCGATGGAGGTGGAGGGTGGCAGTACCTCCTCCTGGCCTGATGCACACGTGGCGGTGTCCAGCAACCAGAATCCACAGGTTTTTGTTGCTGCTGCCACAACAGGACCGCCTGCAACGAATCGACGTGCGTCTCTGAGTCCTGTTGGAAGCGAGCAGGGTGCTGAGCTGGCATTAGGGACGAGAACAAGTAGTTTTGATGAACACAAATCTGCATCGTCGCTGTTCGCAAGCTCAGATGCCGGTGGCCAGGTGGTCGCTGATACAGCTGAGCATTCATCAGATCAGGATTTGGTTCAGGACCCTCCTGTAGGGGGAAGACTCTCAGCGTGTGAAACTCGACTTGCGGGTGTACCGAATGGGGCCAAGCGGCTGCGTCCCATGTCGGGCCCGTGTGTTCTCAGTTGTGCATCCCATTTACAAGCTTCAGCCCTCAGTTACCACAACAGGGAGAGCGTTTCGGGGTTACCCTCCCTCTCTCGTCATTCCTCTCCTGTACCCATTCGCCTTATCCAGAGAGTGTCCACGCCACCAGACGTCAATGAGTTTGCAGCTGTCCAGCTAACTCCAGCACTGGACCGACAGATCGATCTGCCCGATGCGTCATGCCGTGTTAACTCCTCAGCATCAGTATCTGCAGCATCTGGCCAGCCACGTCATCCACGGACTGCAGCAGAACCTACTGCAAAAGAACACCGGAAGCAAGCAGGTGCCCAACCTGCTGATCTTCGGCCTATGAAGAAAGTGACGACGGGCGCAAAGACAAACAAGAAATCTGGTTCAAGAAGCAGTACGTGCCTGCGAATGGGACAGCCTGTGCAACAAGTGTCATCTCAGCGGGAGGCACCAAACAGGACGGACTCACTCTCGCGGCCCAGTCCTCAACTTGCCGTGTCATTGTCTGGTGTTGGGAAGCCTATGCACGTGGTTGTTGCAACAGACATGCGGCCCCCCAACAGTGCAGTGAGAAATATGCAGCCACAGCACCCACCTGCATCGTCAGGAGATGTGGTTTTCCATCGGGAATCTGAAGCTCTGCGAGGCGGTACAGCTTCTGGCACAGCTGGACGCAGGGTAAATGACGCTTGCTCACCTCCAGGGCAACAGTCTAGGACGTACAAGCATTCTGATGCTGGACAGCCAGCCCTGGGCTTACTGACGAGCGAGGAGGGATCGGAATCAAAGCTAACTCAGGGAACTGCCTCACATGGCCAGAAGAAAGCTGTGGATACAAGGACCTCCCAAAGGCCCCCAAGAAGTCAGAGTGCTGTAGGCATAGATGCAAGCTTGTTTTTGAGGACTGCACCAGCGGCTACCCAGAATAGAGCAAAGGCAGTAACCCAGACTGCCAACCCCATGCAGCTGGTCTCCTGTACTGGCAAGCAGGCCCCACCCATTGCGGCGCGAAAGAAGCAGCCTTCCAGGAAGCGTGTTCATGTTACAGAGAACGGATCCCATCATTCACTGGGAGTTGAGTGCAGCCTACAAGGTCAGACGGACTTGGCAGGATGTTCTACACTTATTTTGCCAAATGCTAATGCAAGACGGCACATGCAATGCAAGGGGCAACGGACATTGACAGTACCGTGTGCACAAGACGAGGCTGGGCCTGACAGATTGGCAGGTTTGCATCCTTCGTCAACAATGACTCCTACCGGTTCGCGGCAGGATTTAATGAGGAAGCCGGCTAAGCACCCTCACAATGCCCCCAGGCAGAAAGACTGGCATGAAAAAGCACGGGCATCGGTTGCCGAGCGCCATCTATGTCCATCTGGAAAAGAGAAGGCACCTTCCAGTGCAGTGCAGGAGCCTGAGGAAAGGGCGACAAGCTCAGAAAGAAGAGTTGGCAATCCAATCGCTTTGAAGAGCCATGCGCGAGCAGGTAAGAGTCATGATCCTATGTTAGCTGAAGGGGCAATCACATTGGGCAAGGTGTCACAGGGTAGATATCTGGCTGCAAATGGGATGCAAGGAACGTCCATCGATGCACCTCGACAGCAGCAGAAGCAGCAGCAGCAGCATCGGGGACAGCAGCAGCAGCAGCAGCGGCAACATCAGCAGCAGCAGCAGCAGCAGCAGCAACATCAACGACAGCAGCAGCAGAAGCAGCAGCAGAAGAAGCATCAGCATCAGCATCAGCATCAGCATCAGCATCAGCATCAGCAGCAACATCAGCAACAGCAGCAGCAGCAACTACAGCAGCAGCAGCGGCAGATGCCTGCAGGTCTTTTTGGCCATGTTCAAGGTAGTGGCTCGAACCATGGTGTTGGTGAAGCTGCTGCTGAGGACACTCTTGGCCGGAATTTGGACAGTGGCATGCCCAGTCAGCGGGGGCTACGGACTTCCCTTGGCCAGGGAAGTCGAAGCATAGTGCTGCGTGAAGGCATGGTTTCTATACATCATGGTTCAATGTGGCAAAAACTGGATGCTAGGAGGCATCTGTCACGCTTTGGGGTGCAAAGCAATCAAAATGGCGAAAGTGGAGCTGTGCGAGCTGGGGTTATTATCAATGGTGTTCGTGTTTGGGGCCTTCCAGAAGGGAGAAGACATGAAGCTGAGGAGGCTTCAGGATGTCACACGGTCCAGAGCATGGAGTTTGAGCAGCAGAGGCAAATGGCAAGTGCGGAGCAAAAGGTGCACCCAGAGAAAGATCAGCAGGAATGTGAGGAACGAGAGCTCGGTTGTTCAGGTCATGAAAGTGTTCGCCTGGAGGAAGATGTCCAGGCAGTAGGTGAGGTCCAGCGGACGGATGATGTCTTGTGCATTCCTGTTGACCACCAGATGGAAACGCAGAATGAGAAAGATATAGAGGATGTCCAGAAGTTGAGAAATACCAGTGAGGTAGATGAGGGTGGTGATGTCTTGTGCATTCCTGTTGACAACCAGATGGAAATGCAGAATGTGGAAGGTATAGAGGATATCCAGAAGTGGAGAAGCACCAGTGAGGTAGAGGAGGGGGGTAGTAAACCCTGCATTGCAGCAGGAGAGGAGGTAGGTAATGATCCAGACGGTATGTCGGAAGATGGTTTCCAAAGTGATGAAGAGGAAATAGATATGGAGCAGGAAGAGATAAGCGACTCGGATGATGATGATGACGACGATGATGGTGATGGTGATGGTGATGGTGATGAGGATGACGATGATGGAGGAGAAACTAGAATGGAAATTGGGAACAGGGAAGGTGGGGGTGCCAACGATGGCAGGATGCAAGTGTCTTTTCCAGGAACGGACTCAAGAGGACGGGTGGAACTTCCACATGACGAGGTCATGGAATCCGATGTGGAGTTTGAGAAGGAGGAAATTGAGGACTCGGATGATGAGATGACAGAGTCTGATCCAGAAGTGGCAGGGGCTGAAAGAGCAGAAGATGGATGTGATGATGCAGAGGTTGAGAACATAGAGTTTGAGGAAGAAGAGATGCTTTCTGAGGAGGACGAACTCGATTGTCAATAAACAAACAGGTTCTGAGACTGTAGTCCGTCATAGCGTTGCAACTGCTGTGGAAGACCGGAGCGATCCACAAAAGGGGGATGGGATTTGGGCCTCGTCCATATGAAGAAGCATGCCCTGTTCAAGGGAGTGACCGCACAATAGCCGAGCGGACCCTTTGGCCAATGCCCCAAAGGAGCATGGAAATGACAACCTGCTGCAGTGAACGACAAGACACAGATGTGCCACCCTGTCATGGGATCACAGAGTCTCGGAATCCCAACCAGGTTGTTGTCCCACCTATGGGTGGGTCAATGGAAGAGGTGACTTGCAGCAAATTTGAAAATAATCAGCAGGTTTGGCAGCCTGAAATGAGAACGCCTGCCAAAGGGAGAAGAGTGGTGTGCAGGAACAGGGCAAGATTGGATCGCAAGGTCGGTGGCATATGCAGCTTGCGAACTCAGAAAAGGTGCGAGATCAGGGTGGCCAGAGGGATCGGGATCAAGAGTGCTGAGAGCTTAAATGCCAAACGAGATGCGTGGGAGACGGTCAATGGGGAGGGGCTGCAGAGTTGTCGACGCAAGCGGCCAGTGAAGAGTGGTGGTGGAACCGGTGGGGCAGGCTGGTTGCGGTGGGTGCAACAGCGATGGAATGTACCAGCTCCTGTGGCGTGGAGCATCTGGCAAGTGGCCAGTGAAGAGTGGTGGTGGAACTGGTGGGCCAGGCTGGTTGCAGCGGGCGCAACATCGTCGGAATGTACCAGCTCCTGTGGCGCGGAGCATCTGGCAAGGAGCTAGGAGGGTGTGAAGGAAGATGGAACAAGATATCCATGGCTGGTAAAGCTGCAGAGCAAGGAACTTTGCTGAAGTCCGAAACAAAGGATAATGTGGTTAGTTCTCGCTCCCCTCTTCTGGAGAGTTTTTTTGTGAAATTACTTGTAGAAGCTGCAGTAGGTATGTGGAGCTGGCTTCCTGACTGTTGGGATGCGACGAGAGTTGTGAAATTACTTGGCAGAGTAGGTTCATGGAGTTGCCTTCTTGAATGATGGGTTGGGGTTGCAGAGACCCTAATTTGTAAATAACACTACAATCTCGCGATTGAAAATCGCGCTGAGGTCGTTCCAATGTGGAACAGTCGATCGAGGAATGATTGATGTCATTGCCAGCAATTTGCGTTCCATATCTCGTCTTGTGCACATGGTTCTACTGTGCACGTTTCGCTCTACCCAAGCCATGCTGCAATGGCTTAACTGATTTCATTGGTCTGCAGCATTCAAAGAATCAGCTCACCATGCATAGGTGGATAGGATCGGCGAGGAGAGAATCATATAAGAGAGATGGAGTTGAGCGCAACATTTATTTGCGGAACTAGATGTAACAGTATTGCTCGTATTGTTTTTTTTCCCCCACCATCCATTTGTTTAAGTTACCACGGCATCCCTCTACTGTTTTGGTGTGGTCCAGTACTTCCATATATGACTGAATGCCACTCTCTCTCTCTCTCTCTCTCTCTCTCTCTCTCTCTCTCTCTCTCTCTCTCTCTCTCTCTCTCTCTCTCTCTCTTCCCCTCATTGAGATTCTTGTGTGCACAAGACGGATGTCATTCTACATTGAAAATGACACAATCATCACTGTAAACTGCATCACGTTGATACGTGACTGTCAATTGTGAGTATGTAATGACGGCATCCTCTGACGCTCGGTTGCCAAGGGCGGCCTTTGATTCGATGCTATAGCATGACTTCTGCTTCCACTTGCAGGGCACTATACACAACTTCTGTTTCTGTTGTTTCCCTCTATCATCCCTTCCATTTCTTCATGTATCCGTACTGTATAATAGTGTATATACACTAACTCAGAGAGAACACTCACCAGGCTGTACGTCTCCCTAAGGGCCTAGTTGCACTACTTGCCATCGGCCACAGTCCGTGGTGCAAGGGTGGCGAGTGAAAAAACAGAAAACAGTGGCGAGTCGGAGTCACAGTTGCTGACCGACCCTAGGTAGTTCAGAATTGTAGTATTTTAATCATCTGCTCTCACTGGAGTTCGAACTCAGGTCTGTATTTTAACAGTTCAGGGGTGTACCAACTGAGCTAGGCCAGTTGGTAAACTGGAATGTCCCTTAATCCAAAGGAGCATTCGAAGTATAACTGCGTCGTTGTTGATCTGGTTCAGGCACTGATAGTGATTACACATGCTCCCTTCTGCGTGACACTCCAGTTGTCGTCCTCCCTTCTGTGTGACACCACCAGTGTCCCCTACAGTCGGAAAACGTTGCTGTTGGGAGTCTTCCGCATTGCAGAGGCCCTGTGGAGAAAGTTTTGATTGGCGACTTTGAGGATTCTTCGCACTCATAATGGCACACAAAAAAAATCTGAGAGAAAGAATCAGAGCCATAGATTAGATTTGCTGCTGATCTTTCCGGGGGAAAAATATTAGCAAAATGAAAAGCAAATTCTAAGAAACCGTTTAAGCCACCGGTTGTTGCATTTCTGCTTCCGGGAATTCGCCTAACGGCGGGATCGTTTTGCGCTTGTACCAGTAGAGTGATTTTTCGTTTATCGGGAGGACTGGTGGTACCACCGCTCCCTCCGATGGGGGACCGGTAGCACAGGTTCATTTAGGGCTACCGGTAGCACAGTTTGAAAAACGGACATAGTGGCAAAAATTGAAAATGTGTTGAATTGCCTTCGGGATTTATTTCGTGGTTGAAGATATACATATATATTCAACAGCCCCTCGTTTGTTGTCCTCTTCTCCCTCTCTGCCTACGGTTTCCCGGGCAGTTCTATTTGACGATATATATTCAACCTCCTGATGAGTCGGTGAAACTCCGACAAAACAGTTTGTCACAGCCCCTCGTTTGTTGTCCTCTTCTCTCTCTCTGCCTACGGTTTACTGGGCAGTTCTGTTTGTGACGATATATATATATATATATATATATATGGTTCAGCCTCCTGATGAGTCGGTGAAACTCCGACGAAACAGTTTGTCACAGCCCCTCGTTTGTTGTCCTCTTCTATATATATCGTCAAATATATATATATATATATATATATATATATATATATATATATATTTTCCTGGAAAGATCATGAGCAAATCTACGGACCCTCAAATTCTCAAAAACTTTGATGCATTCTTCGGAGCGCGAAAAATCGCTGAAGTTGGTACTTTTCCCGTTGGCCCACGCAGTGGCAAAATTGCAACATGCACCCGATCGGCGTGGCGATTGTTTAACGGTCAATTTTTATATTTTTTTACTGATATTTTTCCTGGAAAGCTCACGACCTAATCTACTGACCCTCAAATTTTCAGAATTTTGTGTCAATTCTTCTGAGCGCGAAAAATTGCGGGACTAGGCCCGCGGTTCCGGCCTCCGGTCGCCACCCTCTCTCAAAACCCACCTGAACTCACCGGGAGGGCTATTTCCTGGTGGGGGAGGGAGTGGTGATTTTAACCACCCCTACCTTTCCCAGGCAACGTCGAAAGTAACAGTCTGGGTTCTTTGGAGGCTCGCCATGCTGGCACTTTGGCAAAGCTTGGAGCGCAGTTCCTTTCCACCTCGGCAAAAAAAATGCTTGGAGGTAGCGGTGTTCTGGAACAGACCATCAGGTTCAAACTGTGCCTTGCCGGGGTGATCTGCTTGTACACGTGTGCGTGGTTGATCTGATGACACTCAACTTGCCTGGGTTATGGGTGGTATAGAACATGGGTTGATGTGCGTAGCTGAAAAAGAGAAACAAGAGAAAACAAAAGGGGCGTCCTGGGTGCTTCGGGATATCCGGTAGAATTGGAACGATACAGAGAAGATTAGCATGGCCCCTGCGCAAGGATGACGCGCATTAATCGAGAAAGGGTTGTCTTGTAAAGCCTGCAAACTTAGTTAGTGGGTATTGCATGAGAGCTGAGGTTTCCGAATCATTGCTGTCAATGCTGCAAAAGTCTGGAAACATCTGTGATATGAGTGTAAGGCTGCCAGTTGAAAAGGAACCAGACTGATTCTTCCCAGAATAGATATGGCGGCAGGGCCAGAAGGACCTGTTTATTCTTCCCTCCCCTCCCCTCCCCCCCCCTTCCCCCTCTTCCCCTCCCTCGCCTACCTCTATCGAACCATTTGCTAGTCATCAGTTCCATCGATGGCACTGATGCATGCGAAGAAACGGACATCC